ATCACTAGCTCAGCTGCTCTCCACAAGTTCCATTGGACAGAGACCCCCAGTGCTCACTCTTTCACTTCACCACACCTCGCTTGGCATCATGGCCCCAGGGCGGCCACCCTTGGGTGAGTTCCCGAAGCCTCTGAGCACTCAGGTTACCCAGCACTGGCTGCCGACTGCTGCGGGTATGCGGGCCACGGCCCACGTTTCCCACATGCACAGACTGAGCCCACCTTCACTCACACGAACCTGCAGAAGGGGGAACTCTGATCGTCCTGGGAAACGGGAGCTCTGAGAAAAAGCCCCCTGCTCAAGGTCATGCAGCAAAGGATAGTAGCCACAAATGGAGCCTGAACTGTCCAGGTCAAAGGCCATGCCCTCATTTTCAACACCTACGTGCCTGCAGAATAGCAGGTCAGGAGGACCATTCCTGCAAATGGGATCCTCTACCCAGTTTTCAGGCTAGGCCAATGGGTCAGCAGGGTCAGCTTTGATGATCTATAAACCAAGACCCCCTAAGCACCAGATGACAGCCTTGGAAGGACCCATGGGTATGTGAGAATTCTGGTTGGCCAGAGAGAGCTGTTGTCACTCATACAAACACACACACACACATACACACGCACACACACACACATAAAGAGTGACCTGACCTGACTGAGGTCACCCTTTTTGGCAGTGCTTTTTGTCTGTTCTCTTCCTCTCACCTTCCCACCCTCTGTTCTTGTCTTCCACACACTTCCCCAGTGACTGCTCAGATGGGCTAAAATGATGGGATTTTACTTCCTGATGGTTTTCTTTTCTGGCTGTAGTGATCACTCTTTGTCACAGATGCCTGGGCTCTCCCCAAAGTGTCTGAGTTGATATGTTCCATTCCAGTTGCAAGCTGTGTTTTTTTGAATGTGAATGATTAGCAACCATTATGGGAACGTCAAAGGTACCCTGAGAGGGTGCAGAACCTAGAGGAGGTTCTATGCTTTCTTTCTCTGCCCTTGAGGATGCCTGTGCAGGGATGAGGAAGCCTTCCATCAACGGGAAACTGAAGGGCAACTACTGAGCTACATTTCACTTCTCCCCCAACTTTTTTTTTGTGGTACTGGACATCGAACTGAAAACTTTGGACTTGCCAGGCAGGTATTTATGCTGCTAAGGTATATCCCCTGCCCCATTTTTTTTCCATGTAATTCTATTTCCATGTCTAGCTTACTGGGAGGGAGAAAGGAGTGAAGGAGAAGACGCTGGTCACGGTGATGCGAGGCTTCCAGATAACAGCTGCAGCAATCCCACAGAACGTGGGGCGGGACCCAGCATGTTCAGCTGCCTCAGAGATGATCTAACTGAGGAGAGTGAGAGGGACGCTGAGAAGAGTGAGAGGCTTACAGTGCAGAGCACGAGGGGCCTTTAGATAGTAGGGACCTGCAAGCAACAGAGGGGCAGGAGCAAGAGTGGCCAAGTGAGAAATTTAGTGCAAAGCCTCATCTCTCTTAGTTTCAGAGCAAGCTTGAGGACCGAAGGCAGGAAGCACAAGCTGAGAAGGTCGATGCAGGGGAAATGATGACCCTAGCAGAAATGGAAAGAGCAGCAAAGCCTCATCGTTCCCAGGACCCCGGATCATGACCGCATGCAGCGATGCTTTGTAAGTATTGAAACGCACCATCATCCCGTCACCGTGGTACCAAAGCCTGAAACCGTGGGACCTCAGAATTACTGACAACAGTAACCTGTGCAACAGGAAAAACATGAAACCTGCATCCCAGATGTTCCCGGGGAAAGCCTGAGAGGACTACCCAGCTCCCACCCCATGATCCCTCTTAAACACCCTGGGAATCCAGAGTATCATCAGAGGGCCCAGAGGGCAGGCATCAGGCCTCTTAGGGGTAGAAGGCCTAGGATTGGGTCTCAGACACATCTTTATGGGGCCAGTATTCAATCCACAACTAAAACTTTTACTGTACTTTCCCTAACATTAACCATGTTGGACAGACAAAGTACATCGCAAATACATTCCCTCGCTGCGCCCGGCTCCCAAAGGCGACCCACACTCCAGGCTCCTGGACCCGTCCTCCACCTTCAGCAGCAACCAGTTCAGTTCTCCCACCGCAGCTCACTGCCCTGGACTGCAAGTCTCATTTTCCTCTCCCCATGACCCTTCTCCTTCCTTCTTTGACTTTCAGGGGCCGTAGATCACCTCAATCTCACCTACATAATGCAGGATAACCTCTCTATTTAAGGTCAGTTGATTAAAAATCTTAAATCCATCAGCAATCTTAATTCTCCTTTGCCAATTAGTCAACTGCTTACAGGTCTTGGGGACTAGGACCTACACTTCTCTTTTTACTGTGTTATGTTGGGAGTGGTATTATTACTTTTCTCCAAATCAGGAGTGAGTCCATGGCCGTAGATGTCTATCTTCCCCAACACCTCAAGCAAGCCCCGGAGTGAGGAGGTGGAGGCTGACACACAGCAGGCGGCTGTGCCTCACACAAGAGATGAGACTGTGAGAGGAGCAAACCCTGGAGCCGCTGCATCCAGCCATCCTTCAGTGAGCCCTAAACCTCCCGGATGTGTAAGCCAAGAGCTTCCTCCCACCTGTTTAAAAACATTTACAGTGGGATTCTCCCATGTATATTTCAGTGAACCCTAATCATATGTGTGTCTGTGAGCATCAGGTTGAAACACATCTAGGAGACTTTGGAGCGAACAGCAGGAAACAGAACTGAGGTGGTGGTCTGAGTAGCTTTTGCTTTTGACTTAATATATTTGTACTGTTTGAGTATTGTATTTGTTCTCTTGTATTAAAATTGGCATTTATTCCTTCTATAGCTTTAAGATGAAGAAAAATAAGAGACTGCAGTTCCCCCAGGGCCCCATTCTGTGGCTTACGTGGCAGAAGCTTCAGAAGATTCTCCTTCAGTGAGTGCTTTTAAACAGCACACGAGTCCCCTCAAGAGTCAGTAATTACCAGTTGCATTTCAGGCCCCGATGGATCCCTTTAGCCTGTAGAAAACTGCTTAGATGAGGCCACAGATGAAAAGCCCCATGTGCAGAGATGACCAAAGCCCCTGCTGGTTCAGCTTTGTCAGCTTGACACCTTCCAGCCCATGTCCCCAAAGCTGACCTTGAAGGTTGAGTTTGCCCCAGTGCTGTTGTTCCCTCCATGGTCTATAAATGTACACGTGAGAGGAGTCCAAATTAAAGAAAAGAAGCGAAAGCAACACCTGCGTTTCGTCTGCAAAGCAAAGAAGTGCAGGCAACGTAGACTCCACCTGAACTAATGTATAGGATCAGAAGAGTTTGTTAAACTGTCATGCGTATGAGCTCTCAAGAGTTCTCCTGTGCATTTGTGTAGCACAATAGGCTGTGAGCAGCTGGATCTGAATTCCCTCTGCTCTTGCCTACAAGTCTGGTGGACCCAGAACCCACTGGGAAACTCATAGGGCTGATGTGAAATGTATTTAAAATGTTTTTAAAATTTATTTGAAAAATAGTATTTACACTATAATCAATTTGCATAAAATGAGTCTGATTTATTTCACTTATAAGTATGGTCTCTTGTTGCATGATCTACCTATAAAATACCTTGAGTTTATCTTTCTTTATACCTGAGTTATACTCCATTGTATAAAAGTACCACATCAAAATGTGAAAGGTGCAATCGATATTGTGAAAAGGAAAGAAAGTGCTCAGAAGGAAAGAACTGGATTGGGGGAAAGGAAACAAGAGAAAGAAGGAAGGAGAAAATATATATATATATTGAAAACTGCTAAGATAATTGTACCACGAATTTCTATTGGTTTATTGAAAGGCACAGTTAATGTTTAATTGTTCGATCATGTTGGAGGCCTGTATCTGCTACTCTGAACAGCTAGTTGGAAGGTAACAATATGCCATGAAACAACCATTGCTAATTTCCTATCATCTTGTTTTCAAATTCTGAGTCGCTTTGATTTTTTCTTCTTATTTTTTATTCTCTTTAAAATAAAAAAAAGAGAAAGAAAAAGTCTGCAATGCTCCACGTGGAACTCTTCCCAGTGAGTCGCGGGGGCAGCGGCGCAGGCGCGCGGGGGCAGAGCTCTGCCGTGGCGCCTGCAGGACCCTGGGCATGACACCCAGAGCTGCAAAACACGAAAGCAGACAGCAGCCACAGGACGCTTCCTAGTGGCTCCCTCTGAGGAGGTCATTAAACACGATTCTGATATCCTGCTTAATCCAGTTCTGTCTGAGACTTGTTGGAAAAAAACTATTTTTCCAGGTGTGGTGGCTCACACCTGCAATCCCAGCCCTCGGGAAGCGCAGGCAGGATTGAACGTTTGAGACCAGCCTGAAAGACACGTGAGAACCCATCTCAAGATACAAAAAAAAAGGAAAAAAGGAAAGAACAAAAAAGTTCGTTTTTTGAGCAGATTTAAGTTCACAGCAGAATTGAGAGGAAGGTCCAGAGAGCTCTGGTGGTGCCCCTCCCCCAGCACACGCAGAGGCCTCCTCCTCCTCAGCACCCTCCCCCAGAGCCTGCATCCAGCTGTCCAGGGCTGGCTGACTCCGATGTGTCACCGTGATCCGTGCTGACACTAGGGCTTGCTTTGCGTGCTGTGTATTCTGTGGGCATGGGCCTGTCTGCTGTCCGAGTACTGTGTTTGCATCACCTTAAAAATCCTTTCTGTTCTGTTTATTCACCCCGTCTCACCCACTCACAATCCCTGGCAGCCACTGGTCTTTTGAACATCTCCATAGTTTTGCTGAAGGGATTTTTAGAATGAAAGAAAATTGCTACTTTTTCTAATAAAACTACATTGTAAGATCTGGTAAGGAGCAACAGAAAATGTAATGGCTTTAGATGCCAGAATGCAAGACAGTAAAAGAAAGGCAAAAAAAAAAGCCTCTAGTAAGAGAGACAGGTTCCTAGAGATGGTTGAGCACAGGTCACAGCTATGTGCAAAGATGGCCAAAGCCTACCAAGTATACCTGGCCGACTGAGCTCTGTCTTGGAACCCGGCTCTCTGTACTTGTCGCTTATCTCTGCTGTTGCAGCATTCAGTGGTGCCGAGGTATTATAACTATCAATCCTTCGTTGTAATCAAAGACGCTCAGCTCCTTGATTAGTGTCTCAGACCTCTCAATTCAGTGTCTTCCCTGCACAATCCACCCCTGTGCCAGGGACCTGAGAATCTGCTGTAGAAAGCACTAGGCCCATGGCCATAACTTCATTCTTATAAATTTGTATAACTCCTTAACCCCCAGTCTTCAATTACAGCTGCCGCGTTGGTATATTATCTTTCAAACTGAAATATATGAAGTTGTATAAAGTATATCCACAATACCTCATTTACTTCAAAAAGTGTACCTAGTGGCCAAAAGGCAAAAAGGCTAATCATTTTGTTTTTAGCCTGGAATTTTTCTTTGCTTCATGGTTTATTCATGGACTTCATGAATTTTATTCATGGTTTTCTTCATGGACTGAGGAAGTCAACAGGAAAATACATGGCAGTAATTCTGAGTTCCAAGGAGCAGAACTCCCTGACCCATTCTGTGAGTCCCTCCTGGCCTGCCTCCCTTGCCTGCTGGGTGTTGGGCTTTTGGCACAAGTATAAACAGAACAGAGTAAAAAATGTCTTATTATGGGCACAGAGAAGACCACAGTAGGAAGGAGGGAGGTGGAGCTTCTGAGAGTCTGGCTGGGAATGCAATGGCTATATAGGGCCAGGCTGGAGGTGGAGCTTAAGGCTGGTCTGCATGATACGGCAAATAGTGATTGGGCAGGAGGCAGGGTAAAAATGGAAACAGGATGTTGTAAAAGGGAAATAAAAAGTTGTGACTGGACCAGAGGAAGGAAGGCGGGGCTTGGCACATGGCCTCCAATGGCTTGTGCCATACTGGCTAGCCACCATGATGACTTAGCAGAGTTTTTACTAGGGCAGAAAACCCATCACTGGGGAGTGAGCTATGAACCTGGGAGTGAGGAAGGTGTCCCTGTGAAGATAGGGATTCGTCAGCTCCAGGGATTCAGGGCTGCCAGTACAGCATGGCGGTGAGCAGCACCGTCTCTGGAGTGGTCTTATGCTTATATCGGCCATGTGACCTTGGGCAAGTTGTTCAACTCAGCGAGCCTCCGTTTCCTCACCCAAGGAGGTGTAGTTCAGAGTAGCCACCTGTAGGTATGTCGGCAGTGGAAAGGCTATAAGGTACAGAAGTGCTTGGTGTAGCTCCTCATGCATGGAAAAGCTACAGTGATGTCTCTCTTTGACAATGATAGTGATGATGACTGCCTTCACTGGCATGTTCATCTTGAGCATTCTCTATGCTGTGGAAGGAGTTTGGCATGGTGGAAAACAGCTCCATAGAGATGCCCATGGGAGGCAAAGACTTGAGTAATTTCTTTTTTTTTTTTTTTTTTTTTTTGGTTTTTCTCCGGTACCGGGAACCGAACTCACGACCTTGCATTTGCCAGGCAGGCGCTTTGCCGCTGAGCTAAATCCCCAGCCCCAACTTGAGTAATTTCTAAGTCTGGCCTTTACTAGTGATGTGGACTCAGAGGTTAAGTCTCTGTGTGCTCATCTGTGAAAAGAGAAGGAAAAATAAACCGGCCCTGGCTGCTACAGAGTTGTGACAGTGAAGAGGACAATGAGCACCCTCAATTGTTAATTGTGCCCGTGATGGGATCTTCACAGCACACCAGGACACGTGCACCGCATAGAGGGACCAACACCCACTCCTTCTGTTTCCGCCCTCACTTCCCCCCAGCTGGCTGAAGACAGTGCTCTGGGGCGTGGAGGAGGTGTGGAATTGCTGCAGTTTCTCCATCAGTGCTATGACGACTCAATCACCACTCGCTTCCTTGTCAAGTTTATGTTTGCTTCATTCTGAGGTAACAGGTGCCACAAGAGATGATTGTGAAATGACACGAAACAGAAACTTCCTCTCGCTTATTCACATATTTTCTTTTGCTGTTTTGTCTGTTAAGTATAATACAAATGGCAAGTGGTATCTCAAATCAAAGTGTAATACCAAATGTTTTTTTTAAACCTAGTAATATTGACACACAAGACATCCAGCTGTTGCAGGCTGAAGCTCTGCAGAGCTCTCCCTGGGCTGCTCTCTGCTGGCTGTGCCTCTAGGTGCGCTTGGCTGTTTAGTAAAATGCCAAGCCTGAGCTTTGCCAGCCTGCAGTGACGCTGACTAGGCAGGTATGGGTAGGACCTGCAATCTCCATTTCTAACAAGCTTTCTGAAGGAAAGGGTGTAGGTAGGAACCTCCCGAGCCTCACGCTAGAATGACTCTTCAGTCCAGGTCATCTAGGTTCTCACTTTGGGGTCCTGAGGGAGGAAATAAGAGTGTGAATCCCCGCCATGGAGTTGTTCCAGGTGCCCCAGCCCTAATGCTTTGAAGTCTGGATTCTGACCTTTGAGCACCAGCACGAAAGTCAGCTTAAACATGGACTTCCTCTTCCATTTACCCTTGGCCCCTGGACGGTCACAAAATGCTCTTCAGTTAGGGTTTAATGGGGCCGGAGATGGAGGTACATGGACCTCCACCACTCAGTTCGGAGCAGCTGGACCTCTGAAGATGCATTGCATGAGGTGTAGCCAATGAGGACGCAGGGATAGGCCTGGATCGGAGGTGGAGGTTAATGGGAACAAGGATGGAACACCTAATGTTTTCAGTGGAGGGGGTACATAAAACAAACCGATGTCCTCATGATGGTTTCTTTTGTTATTCCGATGTCATCTCTGAGGCTAACTTCCTTTGTCCTTTTCTGGACCCCTCCAAGTCTCCCTCCCT